GAGAGTTCAGGGCAGATTTGGTCTAGGATCCATTTGTTTGTCTTTTTAGCAGTCCATGGTCTTCACAGAACTCTTCTCCAGCACTGTATTTCAAATAAGTTAATTTTCTTCCTATCACTGAATAGCAAACTAAATCCCATAACTATATTTTAGATAATATAAACTTTATTATTCCCACACAACAATTTCTATTTCCAATGGAGGTATAAAATGACAAAATAAGTTACAAATATACAAAACAGATTGACACATTTGAAATTCTGTTTAAAAAGTTGTTTCATATGGTCTTCAGTGACTGCTTTTCATAAGCATGTATTTGGGAAGATGGGAAGTGCAGCTCATCATAGTTCATATGGAAATGTAAATTTTGCCTTTCAGAAAAATTACAGATAAACTGTCCATAATACATTTCCTACTCATTATTCTGGAAAAACATTTATGGAAGTGGATTTAAAAAAAATTACAAAGAAAAAGCAGTTAAGTAAAACATTTTTTCAAAAAAATGGAAAAGCAAGTATATTGTTGTTTAATGAATGAGATAGAGAGAAAGAAAGAAAGAAAGAGACAAAACAAAAGAAGGACAGAAGGATAAAGATGAGCACCATGAGCATCTTACAGCAAGTAAAGTGAAAGAAGTGAATCTGTACCCTTACCTTCTCTAGCAGTTGTCTAAGTTGCCGGCTTTTGGCATCTCTGGAGCAGAGGTTTTGCTCTGGAGCCACCACAGTGCAAATGCATCGCCCATCTGGATCTTGGGCTGAACTATAGACTTGCCATCCTTCTTTGGGACTAATTTGAGTCTGCAAACAAAATAATAGTAAACACAGACATTGTTACTGCTTGTTTTAAATCTTCAGCTCTAAGTGGTTTAGAAATGCTCATACAGATTTTTTCAATTTTTAAAAATTTTCAGAATGGATATTTTCACTAAAAGTCACCTTGCATCAGTGCTTGGTGTATGCATCAAGACTGACCCTCTGGTGGGCTCCCACCCAATATGCAAAGTCTATTTTCTTTTTTGATCATAGAAAAGGAATATGCAGTTTCTTAAGCATCCTTCTCTCCCCAGACTGCTGGGTTAGTGAAAGTCACTATACAAGTAATCTGCTGTGCATGGACTCCGAATTACGACAAAGCAAAAGAAACGCAATGTATTTTGAAGCCTACAGAACTACCCCCATAGCAGCATATTCACAAAACAAACTAGCCATCACACAGGATGATTATTGTCAGATATCCAGGCCATTCAATGGTTGTGATTGTTGAGAGTGCTGGACAGGAACTTGGGAAATCCAGAGGTCCTTTCCCACTACATCATTATAGCACTATGGTTCCACTCTAATTGCCATGCTTCTGTACTATGGAATCTTGGAATTTGCAATTTAAGGGAGGGTATTTAGAATCCATAGCCAGAGAGCTCTAGTGCCTCACCAAACTACTAACCCCAGGATTCCACAGGATGTAGCCATGGCAGGTAAAATGGAACCACCACATTGTAATTGTATAGTGTGAAATGGCTTTAAAATTTACTGGCTGACCTTGGGCCAAACACATACACAAACACTGTCTCAGCCTGACTTACCTCACAGAGTTGTTGTGAGGATAAAATGGGAGGAGGAGACCCATCTAGGCCACCTTGAGTTCATTGGAGGAAAGGTGGTATATATATATATATATATGAAACTAACAAATAAAGGAAACAATAAATATAAAAACAAATGCAAACCATTTACTTCAGGGATAGACTTCATGGTGTCCTGGGCACTACCTCCTGGGCATTAAGTAGACCGTGTGGGGCAGACAGGAGTTGAAGTCTGAAAAAGTGTGGAGGGCATCAGGTGCCCTACTTCTGATTTCATCCAAACCTCAACACACAAAAGCACTTGTCAGACAGAAGTGAGCTTTAATGTGACACAGAATCCTTTTTCCCAGCACAGGTGTTCCATCCATTTTTTATATTTTTAAAAAAGAGGCAGTGTTCACTTCTGTTGTTAACTGGGCAGAGCTTTTCATTTCTTTCAAAATAAGGAAGAAGAGAGGTTACAAGTAAAGGGCTGTGTGTGGCTAAAATTACCAGATTTCAGACAGGCTGTGTTTTCTACAGGGATCATATCTCACAATCCTCCTCAAAAACAAGGCAGCAGCGGCTTTGAATAAGATACAGGAGAGACAGACAAAATCAATCACTGAAATCTAAAGAAATAAGATTGCAAGAGATTGTTCCACCATCCCCCCCCTACACCCTGGTACCATTCAGACCTCAGAGGATTTTGAGAAGCAGAGAGTATGTATTGCAAAACCGACTAGTCATTAGCAGAGCTGAAAATAGATTCAGGAAGCATGCTAGACTTTTTTAAAGGTCCATTTGTGTCCATTCAAATGGCTTGCTTAGGTAGGAATAGGCAGAAGATTGGCGGCAGAGAAACTTGTGGCTAGATGGTACCATTTAGGGATGCCCCAAGACAATTTGTTGCCTAAGGTGGGCATAATGCTCAAGGCTGGGTCAATTGTTTTAGCACAACAAGGAGATTACTCACCCAAGGAGTAATAAAAAAAAATACAATAATCAGCCATGCAGTGACTAATAATTTGCTTTTCATAACACAGTCAGCTGCGTATAGTTACCATACCACCCTGGTTAGTAGGGTTGGACTTGGTACCACTTCAGAGGATAACGTGAATCACAACTATGCAGGTTCTTTATCACAACTATGCAGGTTCTTTTGCACTAAACACAAAACAGATGGACTAGTAATCTACTTGGAGGAAGTTTTTACATTGGGGCATAATCAAATATGGGATTTTGCAGACTCAAATAGGCAGTTCATTCTGCCTCCTTTGGTCTTTGGGCCTTTGCAGACTGCCAGAAATAGTGCACATTAAATTGAGGCACTGCCCTGGCTCAGTGCTAGGGAATCATGGGAATTGTATTTTTTTTCTGAGACGTTGAGCCTTCTCTGTCAGAGAGCTCTGGTGCCACAATAAATTACAGTTCCCATGACTCCCTAGCACTGAGCCAGGGCAGTGCCTCAATTTAATGTGCACTATTTCTGGCAGTTCTACCACATTCTGCTGCTTAGGCAAATCCACCTGTTGACACCAACAGAAATCTCCAGGCTTGCTCCTACCTATAGACACAACACACACCCACACCCACACCCTGATGGGTTGAATCCAGGACCTGCCGTCTGTAAATTTAAGGGCTCTACTTACTAGAGGCACTTCTATAGGATCATTGGGAATCTACTGTTTGCTCCTGCACAGCCCACCCCATTCAGCAGGATGCCCCAACACTCTGTGTAGCATTTTGGGGACTTGGAGGGATGGAGAAGGTGGAGAAGTCCATTT